TTTGCAGACTTTTTAGATGATGTTTCAAATGTATGTGATTTCACATACGGTACCTTGTACCTGTGCAAACCTTGGCCTGAGCCTGTTGATTTCACCCCATTTTGGATACATATTGGTGCTCCTGCCTGAATATCAGTAATAGAGGGAATTATTAAGAATAAATCATGAGAAGAGGTGGTTTTCTGACAGCAGCTGGGCCCTCTTTCCATCATTGTCATTCTCCCTTTCGACTGCGGTAAAGGCACAATTTCTCCATTGCCTCTTATATCATCTTGGCCTGCTGACTTCAGCTCTCTTGAGCCAGCTGATTAAATAAAGACCTCACTAAGTCAAATCTACCCCCCACTTTCCCTTGGCTATATCCAGCATTGTAACTTGATTGGCCTCTATAAATTGGCCAGGTTGGAATGTATTAATTCATTTATTTTCCGTATATTGACTTAACCAAAACATCTGAGGTAAGATTGAATGCTATCAACAAAAGGGCTGTTGGCTTTTAAAAGCCTCCCCCTCAGCACTCACTGCTTAATGCACTACATAACAAGCATTAAATAATACATTAGGAAAATCTGTCTTTAACCTTTCTAAGGAAAGGACTTCAACATTAATTTTCTCATTCACTGTGGTTTCATAGCAAAGATTATTCCACAGGATGGTATGCATGACTATTTAGAATCGAAAAGTTAGAAGGTTAGATGTGCAAACAGGGCATTTTGTAAATTTCTCTTTAAAAATTAAATACATGGTGTTTGATAAAGTATTGTAATCAGCCAGGGCCATCCTTTCGTTGGAGAAACCTCAGTACAGAGGCTGTGCAATGTTTTATTCATTCTTGATGGGAATTATCTCTGAGATGAAAGAAGAGAAGGAGCTTCCTCTTAAATATTGGACGTACCAAGAGCAAATACCTGGGAGAATGCAATACTGAATCTTAGACACTCCCCATGCGATTAGACGTAACTTGTAAATGCTATCTTTGGCTATAATGCAGTCTCAGTGGCAAGAATGAATTTAGCAAATCTATGTCAATGTATGTGAGAATGTGGGGAAGAGAGAACAAGCAACAATTTCAGGCCCCACCATAGGGATGAGCAAATCTATTTACTTCAAGTTCCTCTCACTTTTACATGTCTTCACCCATAATTCCATTTCATTTATGCATTAATCTGCAATTCTAAAATATCTTCAGAAAATAGGTATTTTAAATTTAACATGTATTTTTAAAACACAATGTTTAAATGCATTTTTTTCTGTTAAAAGTCAACTTTAAATGCATACTTGGATAGTAAACTAATGAGAACTGTGTTGCAAAAGAAATTCCAAATCTGACTGATAGCTAAGCTCTAATATATACATTAGATTGAATGGTGTGGATTGAGTCATTTCATGCAGGAATTGTAAAAGGTTGATGTCACACCTGAACACACCCACCCACCCAAATCTTATATACGATAAGATTCTTGCCCCACAGGAATCTGCTGCCTGTGTAGGCCACACTTGTCCAAAGAACTTGTCCATACCCTCATATTTCAACAACTGAAAATCATCCAGTAGCCAGGACATAGGCACAAACATCTAGCAGTATCTGGGTCACAGCATTTATGAGCAATTTTATCCTCAAATTGCGTAGGAAACATGAGACCGTGTGCCTCCAAGGATTCTGTAATGGTTTGGACAAAAACCCAGGTTCTTTACCTGTAACTGGTGTTCTGCAGTCACACATACGTGTTTCTAGTTTTGGACCTCTAACCTCCCTGAGGTATGACCCAGGAAAGAGGAAGACATTTGTGGAAAGGAGGGCAACACCTGTCCTCTTGAGGGATGTGTGACCGTCACTAAGAGGGAATCAACTGGATTTTAATCTGCCTGTGTACTCAGAGTTTACAGAAACATGTTGAATTCCCTTAGGGTGCTTCTATATACCTCCCCTTTGTTCACTCATTATGATGGACCTTTTGCTAGTCAATTAATACATTTAAAAGCATTGGTAAACAATTTCAGAACAAATAAAGACATTTCCAAATAGAATTTGGTATTGCAGTCTTAGCATTTTGTAGTATACTACATAATAAAGCTCAGCATCTCCTTTATAAAGACAAGTGTTTAGAGAGACATCTGGTATCAGAAAACTTTTCTGACTCAGGATTACACAAAGCATGTGGTTCTCTCATCACCTAGAGATACTGTCAAAGTACTAAGGACAGTCAAGATGTTATCTTAAGCACAGCCAATTATTAAATATATAAAGTCAAAGGAAATACTTCATCAAAAGTTTAATATAGAGGAAACTGTGCCAAGGTTACAGAAGCTCACCTAACCACATTCAAAAGCAAATGCCTCAGGATCTAGGGATCACACGGAATTAATTCTTCCACAAATGCTGAGATTCATCAAAAACTTCAGCAGTTCCTAATCTTAAAAGTCAATCATAAAGTAAGGTGGGAATACGCTGGATATGTGTTAAGGATGAAGAAGAACATCTGCCACAGTTGGTGAAGAACAAACATGTAAATGATGGATAACTGAAAGATTTTACCCCTCCACAGCGTCTAGGGATGAGAAATATGTGGACCATAACAATAGAAATAATATAAAAGTATCCAAATTGGAATTAAGATCCTAGTATCCCAGTTCTAGAATTCACACACAGCCCAGCCCAGCTGAAACTGACCAGCTCAAGGGTACTTCAGGGATCATATTATCCCACATGAATCTCCTGGTATGCTGAAGTCATAACTTGAATATGATGATAAGAAACAGGGAATTGGGAGTAGCAGCAGCCTCATTGCAGAACCCCTTGCCTAAACAGGCCCACCAAGGAAGTATTCTCATTGTTTTTATGTAGTTGGTGTCAACGTTTCATTTGATTAGCTGTCAACATGAGCATTATTTTAGCTGAATGAATGAATATTTCAGAAGGCATTTGAAGGTCTTCTCTGAAGGCTGTTTCAATCCTATTGCGATCTTTTAGTAGGTCTGTTGGTCTAGTTTTATGTATTTTATTTATCGATATGTGTTTTATGCTAACCTTATTGTTCTTTATGTAATTTATAGGCTGTCTTGAGCGCTCCTTTGGGGCTAGTAGGTGGGTTAAAATACTACTAATAAATCAACAATGTAGTGTTCAGTGCAACCCAAGAGATGAGCATTGCTCACTCTAATCTTTGTTGCAGTTCAGAAACACATGTACACCCATAACCAGAGATCTTACTTGAGATGCTGATGTACATCTACCTGATGAAGATCTAGCTGCCAATTCAGTCAGGGACATACATGCGCAGAAGTCTTTTCCTGCATGAACACAGGCCATGCAGGATGGCAGCAATCAAGTGTGGTCTGCCAGAGTTAACAGGAAGAATAGTTCTCACTCAAGAGAAGACCTGATTTATCTTTTGCATGCCAGAATTAAAAGACTTTCTTGGAATAACATTAAAATGCTCATACAACACTTCTTTCATTGCCTGATAGTTCAGCTAAGAAGGCGCAACTGTGACTAGTATCACTAAACCTTGTGTTCCTAGAGAAGAAAGGTCACCATGACTTATGATCTCTATTCCTTATGCAGCATATGTGCACTTAGCTGACAACTGAGGTGTTCGTATACATAAGGAGTGATGGATCATTATGCTAGACAAACAGACTGGCCCTGTGGGGTTTGAAGAGAGAATCCAATTTTGTTTGGAATACAAGCAAGCAGAGACTAATTACAGACGCCTTGAGCTAACTCAAACATTCACTGGCTGAAGTGGTTTAGAAGGAAACAAAACACCACATCCAAGTTTTGCCTCTGAGGTTTGGACACGACACATAATTTTCATGTCGGGACACTTTTTCCCAACTGAAAACTGAGATAGCAAAGGCCTATGCTTTCATGATTTGTGATGGGCCTGTAATTCAGCGGTAGCAGGAGCACAGGCTTCCCTCCGCTATTGAGGTGGCCAGTGTCTGATGACATGCATCACGTCGCGCAATGTGATGATGTAGCATGTGCCACTGATGTAGTGCGTGCCACGTCACTGCTCAGTACTGAGGGGGCCTGGCCCCCTCCTTAAGAGCTGGGGGGGGGGGGCAAAGAGCCTCGGCCTCTCCAGCTGGCATGCCTGAGTGGTAGAGTACATCACCCCCCCCTTGCAGGCAGAACGTTCCAGGTGCGATCCCCAGCATCTCCAAGTAGGACTGGGAAAGACTCACACCTGAGATCCTAGACAGTCTATTTCAGTCAGTGCAGACAATAGTGACCAAGTCAGTATAAGGCAATTTCCTATGTTCACTTGACTAACACAAGAGAGACTGGGCCAAACTAATGGGCCAGGACATGAAGAAGTTGAGGAGAGCAGCAAAGCATAAATAGTGCATAAAAGGTAAAGGTACAGGTACCCCTGATAGTTAAGACCAGTCGCGAACGACTCTGGGGTTGCAGCGCTCATCTTGCTTTACAGGCCAGGGAAGCCAGCGTTTGTCCGCTTCCACAGACAGTTTTTCTGGGTCATGTGGTCAGCATGACTAAGCTGCTTCTGGCGAAGCCAGAGCAGCACACGGAAACGTTGTTTCCCTTCCCGCCTGAGTGGTACCTATTTATCTACTTGCACTGCGTGCTTTTGAACTGCTAGGTTGGCAGGAGCAGGGACTGAGCTCACACCATCGCAGGGCCTCAAACCGCCGACCTTTCGATCGGCAAGTCCAAGCGGTGCAGTGGTTTAAACATATAAGGGCACAAATATTTGAGAATTTGAAATCTGTCATCTTTTATGGTCTTAGCATCCTCATATGAATTGCAAAATGCTCAAGCCTGTTAGCGTCTTCAAATATTTCCTTCAAAAGTCACATAACTATCTGTGGTCAGAAGTCAGATATCTGCAATAGATATTTGCAATAGATTGGAAAGGGTTTCTTTCTGCTAACTGAGTAACAATGGCAACAAAATGACCTTCTTAAATTGCACCACTGAAACAGGGTGGAAGGTCTGTGGACTCAGTTCTAGTACTTGAAACAAATTTCTGAGCTGGATAGCTCAGTTGGTTAGGGCATAGTGCTGATAACACCAAGGTTGCAGGTTCAATCCCCGTAAGGAATAGCTGCATATTCCTGCATTGCAGGGGGTTGGACTAGATGATATTCAGGGTCCCTTCCAACACTATGATTCTATGAATTCTCTAATTATTTCAATCCAGATATATATGTTTCACACCTAGTTCCTATTATGGGATCTTCGACTTCTGGCTAAAAACAAACTAGATCTCACTTGTTTAAAATCTGCTCTACCCTGAACTATATAATCACAACTGTCACATCAATGAGTTTTAGCAGGACATTTATGGAGTAAGTGGCTTGTGAGTATGTTATTCCCAAACTTATTTCCTGGGAAACACAATGAATTGATTTCATTGTGGCTTATTTTCAACTTAAGTGCATTTAAGACTAAAGTGTAGGTCTCTAAGGCTGCAGTCTATGCACACTTACTTGGGAGGAGGCCCACTGAATACAGTGGGGAATTACTTCCAAGTACGCATGCATTGCTTTTCTCAGAAAAGCAATGACAAACCTAGACAGCATCTTAACAATGAAAAACCTTGACAGCATCTTAAAAAGTAGAGACATCATCTTGCCAACAAAGGTCCGTATAGTAAAAGCTATGGTTTTCCCAGTAGTGATGTATGGAAGTGAAAGCTGGACCATAAAGAAGGCTGATCGCCAAAGAATTGATGCTTTTTGAATTATGGTGCTGGAAGAGACTCTTGAGAGTCCCATGGACTGCAAGAAGATCAAATCTATCTGTCAGGGGTTCAGGGAGAGAGGCACAGGGTAGGCAGGAGATGGAGAGCGATGGGGAGGAATTCCAAGCCAGCGAGGAAGAGGATGACAATGACTCAAGAGATTCCATGAGTCTTTCCAGCGAATCAGAGGATTCCCAGAAGGGGCGCCGGTGGTCAAGGCCAGGGGAGCCCCAGGGGAAGTGTCAGGAGCAGGGTGCCAGCGGAGGATCCCAAAGTGGCAGCTGGGCGTCAGGACCAGCCTCCCCACCAGAGTGCAGCGAAGGGGTGGAGTTTCCAGTGTGTCAGAGGAAGCAGCTCCAGCAGCAGAGAAAGGAGGGGGTCAGAGCAAGCCGCCCTCCCGGAAGGAGGGGAGCAGTGAAGGGAGTAGTGTAACTGTCAAAAGGAAAGTTAGAGGTTTGGCGCGCGCGCCTAGTTCAAATGTAGAGGCGCGCGGAAGTGCAGGGAGCCCGGAGGAGGGGCCAGGTCCCAAAGCCCGCAGGAGGGGCGAAACCCCAGTGGGCAGAAGGACCCTGCGGAAAAGGAAGGAGAGAAAGAGGTGGAGCAGCGCAAGTCTCTTAAATTGGTGCAGGGGAGGAACTGACTCAGAGGGGACTTCGGCGGTCTAGCGTAAGAGACGTAAGGCTGCGCGCCTAGGATGTCAAGCAAACCATGAACTGCAATAAACACTTTTGTATATAAGAAGACATAGGCGTTGGTCTTTTGTGAGCTAAGACTTGAGGCAGCCTTGACACTATCCATTTTGAAGGAAATCAGCCCTGAGTGCTCCCTGGAAGGACAGATCCTGAAGCTGAGGCTCCAATACTTTGGCCACCTCATGAGAAGAGAAGACTCCCTGGAAAAGACCCTGATGTTGGGGAAGATTGAGGGCACAAGGAGAAGGGGACGACAGAGGACGAGATGGTTGAACAGTGTTCTCGAAGCTACCAGCATGAGTTTGACCAAACTGTGGGAGGCAGTGGAAGACAGAAGTGCCTGGCGTGCTCTGGTCCATGGGGTCACGAAGAGTCGGACACGACTAAACGACTAAACAACAAGCATGCATAGGATCAGACTGCATGAGTTTGAGGTTCGGCCTTGGCAAGTTATCACAAGGAGAATAAAAAGTCATATGGCATCCATATCGAGGAAAATGCAAGCATGTTTATAGTGATATTCAGTAAGTTGATGAGCTCTCGTCTGATCAAAGAGACTGTTTTGGTTGACAGCTTTGTGAGAAAATTAAAAGAAAAGTGCAACCTGGTGGAACAGGCTCTTAAATTACAGTAGATGCTGCACTGCTGTTATTACATTTTTATCACCTTTGGTATCACTAGCTGAAATTGCTTTTACATATCCAAAACAAGGAGCCCTCAAAACAAGGTAATAACCATGAAATGTGCAGTTTTCCAAGAGCACCAAACAATTTCCAAATGATGCATTATCCTGACATCATGACCAATACTAATTATTTTCAAATGTGGCTGTAGCAGACAAATGAGAGAAATGAAAGATTATGCCTCTTAGAATGGAAGTGGAAATTAGAGAACCCTCAAACTGTCATGCCTGGAGAATTCATAATGCAGATCTGGGGTCCTAATGAATTCTTTTCTGCCAAAGAACTGGTTGAGGTAGTCAATTGATATTTATTCATGCAGTAGAATGCATGATTAATAAGCCTGCTTTGGATCCTGCTTCTGCTGGTTGCCAGCACTTTTTGTCTCTGAAATTAAAAACAGGACAGTCCCAAGGCTTGCTTCTGTACTAGTTACTCATTTTTACCAACATATGGAAAGAGCAAGATATAAATATAATACCGTAAATACATAAATATGGACTGGAATGAATGAGAGCTCCCACTACTAAAGGCAAATAAAAGCTAGGGATTGATGAATCAGTTAATTTCTGCTGTGCCATTTCGACATGTCTTCACTCTGCTCCATCCTATTTCCTGATTAATATTTTTAAATAAAAAAAGTAAATAATCACATTAATATGCTTTTTTTAAATACTACATTTCCCCTCAAAATGCACATTTTAAAAGGCATTTGAATGCTTTTCCTTTTTTAAAAAAAGTTGAACTGCTTTGCTAGGTTCCAATGATCACATTAGCGCATGAGGTGCGGATTGGGTCAGTCTGCACCAGAATGTGCAAAGTCTACATTCCCCATTCCCTTGGCCCAAGGGCAAAGTTCACTGCTTGCTTAGGGGCTGTCAACCTTTTGCTTATTCTTACTGGCTCAAACTCCGATCTGGATAATCCAGGAGCAGATAGCCCCTTCACATTTCTAAACATTAATGTCAAGCAAAAGTGTTCAAGTAATAAAAGGGAATATCACTCTGAATAGGGCAGCTTTAGTGAACATTAATATATGGGTTAGAATTTCTTTTGTTAAATATTAGCCATGACTTTCCCCAGTTCTAGGGAGAATATTAGATTTCCCCAAAGTATAAAAAATCAGAGTCAAAACGGTTCATTCTTCATTAACGGGAACAGAGGGCTATGCTTATTCTTTTCATTTGCCAGATTACAGCAACTGTGACGTTTCTTTAAAATCACGAAAAGAAGAGCAGCTGACTAAAAAAACCATAATCACACTTCCCTTTTAAACAAATGTTGTGTGAGCTGCAATGATGGCTCTAGATTGATAATTTTCTCACAAAGAAAATCAAGTCCTATTCTTTGGGCTCCCCTTGAAAACTATCCCAAAGCTTTGTTTCTCTAACTTTTTTTAATAAACAATTTTGTTTATTAAAAGAAAAATCACACAATTTTTACACCCCCAAACCGCAGCATAGCTTAAATGCCAACATTATTTTGTCGGAAGAGAAAGGGGAAGTAACATTGTGTGTCGAGGTCCCCAAGCCACCCTCAAATAAAACACAATCCACACAGAATCTTAGTTTAAGGTTTTTGGCAGAATTTTGACCACAACTTTATTAAAATACAAAAAATGTGAGTGGTTGCTTAGGCATTGGTTGCGACTATCTGTCCCCGCCCAGGGACAGACTGACATCCGCACGCCCGCGAAAGTCAGAAAGGGAAAACAATTTGGGGAGAAAATGGAGCTGGGTGTCATGCCCTCACCTCTCCCCAAATGCTCCCAGGGGCTCTTGCGTGGCCCTAGCCCCTTGACAGGGGTTTGGACAAGAGCATGGCAAGCCCCTGGATTCCTTTAACAGAATACCCTTGCAGCAGCAGCATTGGAGGGGCAGGCACAGCCAACCACATTCCCTTCACCAACCAAAAATTAACCAATGCCTAACCGCAACCTTACAAGTTGTGATGATTTGCTACGCAGTAGGCAAAACCCAAATGGCAACAGCCAATCAGCCAAATGGACAAAATTCCTACCAGGCCCCTGCCCCCAAAGCAGATGACCCCATGACAGGCATAGCAAGGTCAATGCAAATAACCCTAAATATAGGGAGGGTGGGCGGGTGATCCAATGCACGCAGTGAAAAGAGGAAGCTCAATGCTGCGCGCAGGGAATATAAAGCTAATAGGCTGTCAATCAGGAATAGCAACATTAAAATCTCCCCAACAATATAGAGGAGCCCAATCGCAAATGTGGCCATCTAATCTTACCCGCCCAGCAACAGAGGGATCACTTGCTAGACCCCACCGCAAGACGTGCTCTCCATGAAGGAGAACACGCTTTAACTTAAAAGGTATACATAAAATAAGATGGAAAGAAAATCTACAACAGGGATGACAAGAAACAAAAAACAGGGACAAAGCTGAGGATGAAGCAAACCGTGGACCAAAGAACAAAAATAGTGTGACCCTATGGTCCCTGTGAAAGTGTCACAGGGACCATAGGATTTCACATATCTCTCTCTCCGTCCTCAGAACCTTCATCCCTGAAGCTTGCCAACTAGATAAACATAAAAAAAGCATTTCCTGTTTCCTCTCTTTGGGCCCTGCCTGTATTCTGGAGGGGGGAGATGTTGAATGGTTTCTTTAAATGTAAAGGTTCATCACTGTTCCACCCGATGTGTATGTCTTTAAGGGGCCAAAGCAAGGGCCAGAGCAAGATAACGAGACCCAGCGTTACAGCTGTGAAACATAGCAGGTGCTGCCGAGTTGTACTGATTAAGCTGTGTTGGCAATTGGGTGTAGTATATAAGGAGCAGCACCTAGCTCTCCCATTACCCTGGGGGATGGGTTGGTGGTTGGGTCATGTTTGTTTGATAATGTATTTAGTGTAAAAGGAGTTTTTGTTTTTCTTATTAAAACCTTGTTTAAATTATTTTTGAGTCCCTTTTTAATGCATGGTCTCCCCAGCAAGCTCTCTGCAGCGCTACAATACTGCAAAAAGGCAACAGGAGAGCCCCTGCCCCTCTCTCACTTGGCCCACCTTGCCTGTGGGCTGTGGCTCTGCCTGCCGCTAGCATGTGACTCCAGTTTAGGTGGCCCAGAAGGGAATGCAGCTTTTGGGGTGAAAAAAGGTCTATTATCCCACACTGACTTGGGAATAAGTCCCATTGAACTCAATGGGGCTTAGTTTTGAGTAGACACACATGAGACTCCACTGCTAATGATTGAAGCCCTGGTAACTAGAAATTTCCCATATTTAGCTCTGCCAAGTGCTTTTTTCCTAAAAGAAATGTTTAGGGATACTCTCATTTCCCTACTCATATTGAAATACTGCCCCTCAATGAGGCCAAACTTAGATTCACATAATGTTTTAGGGGTATGCGTACCCCTGCATTCCCCCAGGGAAAAAGCACTGGTTTTACCCAAACTGATTTCAATTTGGTACAGTATCTTCAGCAACAGGAATATCCCACCCTTTGACAACTAATGATTTTGAACTTCTCTCCCCACTCTCTTCTGATGTCACCTCCCCAATATAGCAGGAGTGGGGAACCTCGGGTCAAGGGCCCAAACAGTGTTGTTCAGCCCTCTCTATCTGACTCCTGTGACTCTCCCCAGGCTACACTCTTCTCTGAGTGCTTTTGTGTGGCTGGATGGAAAAATGTGTACGTGTGTAGAAAGAACCTCTGACTTTTGCGTGGGTGGATTACAGCCTAATGTACCAGGTTGCATTCCTTGCTCTCCCTTCTTGTGCCTCTTCCTTGCTCTCCCTTTGAAACGGTTATCAGTAAGAAAATGTGGCCCTTAAACTGAAAAAGGTTCTCTGCCTTTGCAATACAGTGGGACCTCTGGTTGCGAACAGGATCCGTTCCGGAGGCCCGTTTGAAACATGAAAAGAGCGCAACCCACAGCGGCGCGTCTGTGCATGCACGGGTTGTGATTTGCTGCTTCTGCGCATGCGCATGACATAATTTTGCACTTCTGCGCATGCGCGAGCGGCGAAACCTGGAAGTAACCCTTTCTGGTACTTCCAGGTCGCCGCGGGACGTAACCTGAAAGAACGTAAAATGAAGCGGATGTAACATGAGGTATGACTGTACAGTGGTACCTCAGGTTAAGTACTTAATTTGTTCCAGAGGTCTGTTCTTAACCTGAAACTGTTCTTAACCTGAAGCACCACTTTAGCTAATGGGGCCTCCTGCTGCTGCCGCGCCGCCGGAGCATGATTTCTGTTCTCATCCTGAAGCAAAGTTCTAAGCACTATTTCTGGGTTAGCAGAGTCTGTAACCTGAAGCGTATGTAACCCGAGGTACCACTGTACAGGGCCTCTGCTATCCCCAGTTACTGCAGTTGTTAGCTGTACAAATAAAACTACAAATACAAAAGAATGGGGTCAGTTGTCTTCAGGAAAGCAGTGTACAGAACTTATGCATCATTTACAATGCTGTATTTTCCTCTCGTTCGACATAACTGAAAGGAGTTTCATTGTATGCCTATGCTGAATATTATATCTTCTTTGAGGTGGCATTGCAAGACAGCCTGCCTGCTTTTTTTTAATGTTTCCACTGATATACAACTGCCAGAGCAAAGGATGGTGATTTTCATGAGGAACAATAAAATCCTATTGCCAGCGGGCTGGGAGGCGAGCAAAGAAAAGAAAGCAAACCAACATAGATAACTGTTGTGTGATAAAAACGCCAGTTTATTTCTTTTGGAACAAATAATTGGAAGCCACAACCAAGAGGCAGATAATATGCCAAACTAGGCATGCACGCACACACACACATATTCAGAGTTTCTGTTTGTATTGTACAAAGCCTGTTTGAAGAACATCCTAAAATGAACGGGTCCAGAAGAACGAATGCAGGCTTAGGGTGTGTTGAAACATCTGTTTTTCTGTTTATAACACAGGTTACCTAAAGTTTTGGATTTTAGATTTGTAAAGCCTGAACGGTGTATCTTGCACAAACATAAGAGTATGTATTGTAAACCAGTAGGCGTTACGGCAAAACTTGACACACAACTTGGGAGTCCTCGTAAAACATAAAGTTTCTAGTCCCTGTAATGTAAATTTCATTGTAACCAAGGAAGCAATTAAAGATTGCAATATAAACAAACTCCCAGCATTGCTGCAATCCCTAGTTAAGGCTCAAAATTCTGTTCTTCACAAGGAAAGGCAATGACCCTAATCTAGAGTGCACTTGGCCACTCCGAAAGTCCATTAAATTTAACGAGCATTTGCGGGATGCCAGGAATGCAGGAGTGGCTTGTGTGGCTACACAGAAATGCCTGCTACTAGCTTCAAAGGCCAGGTATCCCTGCCACTCTGAGTTCTTAGAAGTGATTGCAGGCAGAGCACTGGAGACATCTGCTAAATATCACTCCACAGCTAGGAGCTGCAATTAAGAAGGAAAAATATTAGTAATAATTTAAAATGCTATGGCTGTTGACTTCATCCAGATGATCTCATTAGCTCTGGGCCAAAATAACAGGCTTCCCTTCGGCTGAAGTGGGGTGAACTGCACTTGGGTGTTTGCTATGAACACATTTTCCCCTTGATTTTCTGTTGCATAATGCAATAGGTCATCTTATGGAGACGGTTTTGACTGGGGAAGACACCCTGCTTCACTCAATTTCCTCTCCTGTGTTCTTCGGTATTTGAGGGTGAGAGACCAAAATTTACATTTGATGTAAATTAATCCCTTGCAGATAATAATCGTAGAGGAAAAGAAGGGTCAGCAAGTTTAACCTCATTTATAAACTTTTCATGGTTATCATTTCAGTTAAATACAGTTCTGAAGAGACTCCAAGTGCCAATTATTTGTGAAACATATTCTGTCACAAAAAATAAACAAACTTTCAGGATCATTGAACTCTTCTAGCTTAAAAAAAGCGGCAAAGAAGCACAGAGAGCATCAAATCTTGTGCATAATTGACAGTGTAGGTTTTTGTGGTAAAGGATATCATAATTGCTGCTTAGTCAGGCCCAGGGTTAACTAGTTTAGTATTTTGTTTCCATATGTGGCTGGTCAGATGCTTACAACAAGCTCTGAAACAGAGCATGATCCATTGTCTTCTCCCCTACATTTGTCTCTGAAAATTAGAACTTGGAGTCACCTTATATAATTGAATGGCACTAGATTCAAGACCAGGGACGCGGGTGGCGCTGTGGGTAAAACCTCAGCGCCTAGGACTTGCCGATTGTATGGTCAGCGGTTCGAATCCCTGCAGTGGGGTGAGCTCCCGTCATTCGGTCCCAGCCCCTGCCCACCTAGCAGTTCGAAAGCACTCTTAAGTGCAAGTAGATAAATAGGTACCGCTTTATAGCGGGAAGGTAAACGGTGTTTCCGTGTGCTGTGCTGGTGCTGGCTAGCCAGCTGCAGCTTCGTCACGCTGGCCACGTGACCCGGAAGTGTCTTCGGACGGCGCCGGCTCACGGCCTCTAGAGCGAGATGAGCACGCAACCCTAGAGTCGGACACGACTGGCCCGTACAGGTAGGGGTACCTTTACCTTTTTAGATTCAAGACAGAAAAAGAGTTATTGACAGAATTCACCTCCATGTGGTATTGGACACTAATTTAGATGGCTTTAAAGGGCAGAGGGGGGAGGCTAAGACAATTGAATACAATACGACGGTAAGAGGTCTTGGCTGGGGACAGGCATTATGAACATATTACATGGGTCCTTTGTCACTTTCACTGGCTTCCAGTTTCCTTCTGGGCCCAATAAAGCCTTTTATGGCTTGGTATCTTGGTACCTGAAGGAATACCTCTTCCCATATGCACCTAGCTGTGTATAGGGATCAGGGAGAAGGAGGGATCAGTCATTTTGATGGTTAGATTTCCAGTGTGGCTCTATCTCTTCACATGTGTAAAATGAGTTGTGTAGGACCATGTTTTATTCTATCGTTCTCCTTTGACTTTTAGTGTGAATCTGTATTAATGATAAATTTTTAAATTATTTGATTTAACTTATTGTATATCACCTAGAGAATCTATATCATGAAGGGTCAGGGATTGGACATCGGAGGAGGAATGGTGGGGGCCGCCTCCCCCTCCTGATCCTTCCTGAGGACAGTATAGATTTACAAAGGTGGTTTGCAGCGGGTCACAGCTCAGAGATAGAAGAGGGGCAAATCTGGGAGATAATGGGAGAAGCAGAGCAGGAGCAGCTGGCTGACACGTTATCACTAGAGAGCATTCCAGACCCCCCCTTCTCCCAGGACCCGGCAAGCAATGAAAGTAGGAGAGAAGAGAGCTCAGAGGCAATTGTCCATAAGCAGACACTGTAAGGGGGTAGGTGGGGCTGTTGATGGCTGAGAAGGGAAGGGGGGAGGAACATACTTGGAGCAACGCCATTAATGAGAGGCAACGTAAGAACTTCTTGTCTATCTGTTACTGGCAGCCAACTGTGAGGGGCGGGATTGGATTCCCTGAAGCTTGACATGAGCCAGCAAAGAAGCAATCAAGCAAAGACTGATCTGTCAATGGCCAGTAGTTCTGATGGCTAAATGGAATCACTGTCGGCCATGGGGGGCAAGACTGGGGCGGGGGGCTGTCAGCTTCATGCCTTACTGGAGGCCTTTGTGGAAGAATCTGTTTGGCCACTGTGGGAATAATAATAATAATAATAATAATAATAATAATAATAATAAAAATTTATTTATACCGGCTAACACCAGTAAAATTACAGTGAAAACATAATAAGAAAAAAGTAAAATTTAAAATGCAATTTAAAATGCAGCCTCATTTTAAAAGTAGCCCATAGATCAAAACCATAAGGGGGGGGGGAATATAAGGGTCAGACTGAGTCCAAACCAAAGGCCAGGCGAAACAGCTCTGTCTTGCAGGCCCTGTGGAAAGATGTCAAGTCCCACAGGGCCCTAGTCTCTTGTGACAGAGCGTTCCACCAGATCGGGGCCAGTACTGAAAAGGCTCTGGCCCTAGTTGAGACCAATCTAACCACCTTGCGACCTGGGACCTCCAAAATGTTGTCATTTGTGGACCTTAAGGTCCTCTGCAGGGCATACCAGGAGAGGCGGTCCTGTAGGTATGTCGGTCCTAGGCCGCATAGGGCTTTAAAGGTCAAAACAGCACCTTAAACCTGACTCTATACTCCACTGAGAGCCAGTGCAGTTGGTAAAGCACTGGATGAATGTGATCCCATGGCAAGGACCCCGTAAGGAGCCTCGCTACGGCATTCTACACCCGCTGGAGTTTCTGGAAAGAAAATGCTAGACTGCATGGACCTTTGGTCTGATCCAGCACAGATCTTATGTTCTTCAGCTTTCTAGACCACATTTATATTAAGGATTTACATGGGGGAAACACCACATCTGAACTCTCTATTGTAACTGTTAAATGAGATGGAAGAAATATTAACCATTAAGTCAAAATAAGAGCTTGCTCCCTAAGTATGGATTGTGGTCACCTTCAGAGAGAGGGATATGAAATGATCAAAGAAAACTTCAGGAGGATAATATTTTTGCATAAGCCATTTCAGTGCTTGAGATAAACGAGTGAAAAGAAAGCATCAAGCAGAATCGAGAAGGCTCCGGCACAAGACATTTAGCTGCAGTTTTTTTCAGGCATTGGTTTGGCAAATATTCAGCGTACATCCTCCCCCCCCCCCCGTTTCACGTTGACAGGTTTATCCAGCCAACCAGAAACTTAGCTCTATCACAGTTGACAGTTATTGACGGCAGGCTTGATTAGCACCATCAGTCTGTTGAATATCTGTATTGAAAAGAGAGCATTTCATGTAGACACACCAAACTGGTTAGAAACATTATCTTATTAATAGCATGCTGTGAAACCAATGAACGCTTATCTCATCCAGCCGGATGAAGAATACCCACATTGACACAGATGTAATGGAGGTAAACAAGCAAGAATGAAAAATAAACTTTCAGAATGCTTCACAGAATAAACCTGCATGCAATACACTGCTATGTTGAACAAGTTGGTATTCTTGAACAATGTTTAGCTGTGCCCATGACAGGTGTGTGAGGGGAAAAACTCATTTGGGGAAACACTAAAGTGTGGAGGGTAGACCAGGCCTCTGAGAAACCTATCTACCTCTTTGCTGGTTCTCAGTGGGTAGATCCACTAGCCATCTATAGATGGACCTGCCATCTTTCTTCTCACCTCTGAAACCTTCAGTTGTTTTCCTGACTCCTTTCGCCTCCTCCAGCCCCTAATTAATTGCATTGCTCCTTCCATGAGCTTCACAGCCCCCTTCCTGCTCCTTGCTCCAAAATGAAGCTCCTAAAAATGGCCAGGTTAACAACAGTGGACTACACTAGAAGGGAAATACACTATTTCCCTTCAGCAAAATGGGCATAGCAACACTGGGCTACTTTGCAGGGCTGCCATAACCCACATTCTCTTAACCATAGTCCTGCCCTCTAAGGTAAAGGTAAAGGGACCCCTGACCATTAGGTCCAGTCGTGGCCGACTCTGGGGTTGCGGCGCTCATCTCGCTTTATTGGCTGAGGGAGTTGGCGTACAGCTTCTGGGTCATGTGGCCAGCATGACTAAGCCGCTTCTGGCGAACCAGAGCAGTGCACGGAAACGACGTTTACCTTCCCGCCGGAGCGGTACCTATTTATCTACTTGCACTTTGACGTGCTTTCGAACTGCTAGGTTGGCAGGAGCAGGGACCGAGCAACGGGAGCTCACCCTGTCGCGGGGATTCGAACCGCCGACCTTCTGATCGGCAAGTCCTAGGCTATGTGGTTTAACCCACAGTGCCACCCGTGTCCCTGTCCTGCCCCCTACAGTATGGTAAAATAATGATGGACTTTAACTGCATGGCATTAACAGAGTAATTTTTAACTTTTTTAATGAACTCAGAAGAATCCCCGCTCCTGTGAAAGAAGACCTGAGTTATAAAGATCATGAATGTCTATCTTATGTCTACTTTTTACAGTGGTGCCTCGCAAGACGAAAAGAATCCGTTCCGCAAGTCTCTTCGTCTTGCGGGGTTTTTTCGTCTTGCGAAGCAAGCCCATTAGCGGTTTAGCGGATTAGTGCTACAGTATTAGCGGCTTAGCGGGCTTAGTGGATCAGCTGATAAGCGGCTTAACGATAAACTGATAAGCGGCTTAACGATCAGCTGATAAGCGGCTTAAGGATAAGCTGATAAGCAGCTTAACGATCAGCTGATAAGCGGCTTAGCATCAGCTGTTAAGCGGCTTAGCCATCAGCTGATAAGCGGTTTAGCGGCTTGGGAAAAGGGGGAAAGGAAAAAACCCCGCAGGAACTCGCAAGACATTTTCGTCTTGCGAAGCAAGCACATAGGAAATTCGTTTTGCGAAGCACCTCCAAAACGGAAAACCCTTTCGTCTAGCGGGTTTTCCGTCTTGCGAGGCATTCGTCTTGCGGGGCACCACTGTACTTTATTTTTACAATAGTAATCCCCAATCACAGCTGCTCTAAAATCCTGACTACCTAAATTGTTTTTTTAAATGGGGCGTCAATCACTTCATCAAGCAGAAAAGGCCTGACACCAAACCAAGAGTCTAGATAATGGTTATTTCACTCCAGCCTTCTCTTTATCTAATTGGCTAGATCTTCTCCCATGAATGTCAGTCATTGCTATGACCCTGAAAGATGAAAACAGGCTAATTTATCAGAAAAGGAACGAGAATAGTGCCTGCACATTTCCTCTCATATCTCAGGTTCTACAGCTTATGGTCCAACCAGGAGGGCAGCTTAGAATCATAGAATTGTAGAATTGGAAGGGATCCCATGGGTCATCTAGTTCAACCCCTTGCAATGCAGAAATATCAACACGCGGTCCCCCATCCAATTTGAAATCACACTGGGCCCTGCTTAGCTTTGCAAATATGCTAGCAGACTGTCCCCCATTTCACCAACATGCTTGCTTGTTCATGATGGTAAACCATGGTTAGCCATACTGTTATGTGTGAATGAGGCCAGTATAACAAAATTGTCATTGGGTTGTGGAAGTGAAGACATCATAATATTTGGGGACAAGGCTTTCTGCAATTCTATGCTCATGACTAAAGTCTTGAGCTATGACATTGACAACAGCAAATTTCCCCCCAGCTTTGTACGCAAAGGGAGATGTTGGGTGCCTAAATCCCACAGAAGCAAATCAGAGTTAGGCTTCAATCCTAAATTCAATGACCCACTTCAGGTTTGGTTTTGGTTTAGATATTGTTTGTGGATGCAAAGTTGATGTGAATGGTTTGTTAGGAAATGTAAGTATAGAACGATCTTTCTCCTAACATTGTTCCAAGATAGAAGATGACGCTGTGCCTTTAATATCTTTAAATTCAATCAGTGATTGATTACTAATTCCCATGTATTAGATAGAGGAAAGCCATAAGGAACTTTACAAGACCTGACAATCTGCTGTGTTGGGTGCTGCCCTTGTGTTTTATTATGCAAAGTGCATGAACGGACAACTCAAGACATAAATTATGCAAATATCTATTAAGAGACTTTGAAAAATGCAGATTACTCACCAAATACATGGAACAAAAAAGAAAAGTTAGCTGGCTTGTGAACTTGGGGGTAAAGTTCCATACGCTCTGAAGTCTATTCTACCCCTAGGAATGCCACATTAATACAACCCTGGAATTTATGTTGCAGAAATTAGCTGCTATGAACTGCTAAAGAGACTAATGGCATAGCTGAATTCTCCACAACATCTGCTCTAGTGAGTCTCTCACTGCCCATAAAAGCAGCCTAAAATATTTTAAAATTAATCAATTAATTAAACTTAAATAACAAGCCTGGTGTCGGGAGAAGACACTTCCCAGGAGAGGATGAGCACAAGCTCTTCTCTGTAGAGTAGGAAGTGGAACCTGTGGCCTTGCTGGACTCCAGTTCCCATCAGCCCCAACCAGCATGGCTAATGGGAGTTGCAGTCCTGCAGTGTCTAAAAGGCTGCAGGTTCCTTACCCCTGCTGTAGGGTTATGTGGAGTCATTGGGTAAATGCAAGCTCGTCCCAGAAGCACCTAGATAACTGAAAAGGCTTCTAGGTAAACTCTCATTCCCACAAGGGCAACAATTCACACCCTGCTCTCTTTGCTACAATGTGGGGCTCTTTCCAGTATACTATAGAAAATAATCTCCCAAACCTGTGGTAGTCTCTTGTCTAGTGACCCACTTAAAGTTGGAGCCAGCCATGGGCAATTATATACCTTCTAAGACTTTTAAAACAAACAGAAATGGACAAATTAGAAGTGATATTTGTGGTTGTAGCTAGCACAAGGATGTGGTCCTCCAGGAGTTGGACTGCAACTCCCATAATCCCTGAGTTTTTTCTTTGCTGGTTGGGGTGGAGTTGCAACAACACATGGACAGCCACAGGTTCCCCATCTCTAGGGTCATAGAAGTATGAGCAGTAGTAGGTATGTTGTATGATTAGGAAGTCTGGAGATACTGGGTGTAGCCACCTGGAAAAAGTGTCATAAAACACATGCTTATTTTAATAGCTCACTCAAAATGAAGGAAGAC